TCGTCGGGAATCGAACCACAGACCTCTGGAATACGCGCCCAGCATGCAGACCACTACACCACGAAGGCACGCTAAGAAGTCGGGAGAAATACCTTATAACCATTTTATATTTACGCTTCAAATGAAGGAAACTGCAAAGCATATTGCAGACAGACCATTATACTGCAGTGAATGGAAACGGGTGAAAGCTATCCGTGTTTTGGGACTTCAGTCCCACGGCCTCTCGTTGGCAGTAAATTACTAAGTCTGACAACTTGATAATTTCTGTAAGAGCATTTTCAAGCTACTTAAAAAAAATTTATTAACTGGAATATTAAATCATTAACACAAAAACTGAATTCATTTCAAAGTGTAATAATATGTATCTGCCCCACGTACATATTAGTCCTAGTTACAGCAAGATATGGTCACTTACCCAATTAATACACCCATGATGATACAGTTTTTGTCAAGCTCGCTGTGTGATGCCATTCTCACTGTGAATGATACTAAATAACAGAGTTTATTATTTGGTTCTATTTTTACTCTTTCTTGAGTCTAACATTCATTGCCCTTCAGCTGCAGATTATTAATTTATTGAACTAAGTAACAGTCGCAATGTTATTTTTTTCGGTGGGGGGGGCTGCTTGCTGTGCCTTAATTATATAAATTTAATTTGTTCAAGCAACGAGTTACTGAAACAAATAAAAATTCTGAAAATGATTTCTCATTTTTCTTTAAATTTACATTTTGTGCCTGGTTTTCTCTGAATGAAAGGTTGCCAAAAATTGCCATTTAAAATGAATTGTGAAAGAATTTTCAATCATCAGAAGTACCCGATCCATACCACCTGAGACCCTGGGCGCAGTACTCTTTCAGATGACCCCAGTGTCCGCTTTACAAGTTTAAGTAATTTTTATTGCTTACGCATGGACGCATTCTTGTGGACCATAGGAATCTCGCGAAAACGTTATTTTAGGCCTAATAAAATATCCCCACATCTGTTTTGCACAGCTACATTTCTCTTTCATGCAACGGTGAGAAAAATTAAAGAGACGATTGGCTGCGGAGTGTATCGCAAGGAATAATGTATTCGCAGCTGTAGTTCTGCTCTACGCATCCTATATTTTTGCGCCGCCCAGCTGCGAGAGAAACTGGAGTGGATATTGTTTGGAAAGTGCAGTTTGCTTTAGAGACACATTTTTGGGAGTGGCTTTTTTTATGATTGATGCAATTTTTATTTTTGGATGATTTTTTTTAAATTTATATTAAATAATTAGGATTTAACAAACAATCGTACAACTATAAGGAATAAAAGTCATTACTTTTTCCTAACTTACTAACTACATTTCAGATTCTCAAAAGTCGTTGTGGTTATTCTCAAAAGTCGTCTCAAAACGTCATTAGAGGCTGAGTGGTTAAAGACTACTGAATACTGACAGTTCGTCCTGGGCAGGAACCGAGGTGAATGGAAGTGTTGAATAGTTAGGTTTTTTATGATTTTTCCCTGTGTTGTAACGTGAATACGAGCTAGTTTCCTTTAGAAATCCTTCTGGGAAGCATCCCTCTTCTCAGATAGATAGCGCTTGTGTGCGTTGCATTACTCAAGCAACCAAACCTCAAAAATGAAGCAATAGCTAGGCCACTGTTTTATTGCTTATGACGCAGATGGTGCGTCTCAGAAGCAACCGCATAGATAGTAAACAGCACATATTGGGAATTATTCTTCCCTCCTCCTTAATTACCTTATACGCCCTCAGCTCTTTTAATCTGTTGCACCTTTGTATCCTAAAGGTCGCTATTAAAATCGTTTCGGAAGTGTTTATTATACGGCGTATGCATATTTAGTCTAGAACTGTATAGTCCGATATACTTGCTACTAATCATGTACAGGGATTGAACATCTGAAACTCGGTCACTGGAATAGAGGATGTTTTAAATATTTAATTATTTGTATCTATAAAACGGGCAAATATTTTTTATCACACATATTGGAAATCTTAGTTTTCTGTAATGATATTCCTTTTGCATTCAGTTCCTAATGTGCAGGACAGGGGACTGATGACCAGTATTGCATCCGCAAGAAGAGGGGATTCACAAAAACAAACATCCTTGCCTTTATCAAAATTCGAACCTGGGCTCAGTGACGAAGAAGCTCGCTAACCGCCGTACCAACTTGAACCAAAGATATAAACATGTAAAATATCATATAAATTTAGGGACTTCAAAAACGTTTTTCTGTGGAAAACAGAGAAAGAATTAAAGTTTAAATGCTAACATTAGGGATGCCGGAGCCCTACGATTGCAGAAGAAATAAGCAAAAGGTAGATAACTTAAATAGAATAATAAATAATGAATATTAAAAATAAATAAAATGTAAAGCGATAAATTAAAAACTAATAAATTAAATTAATGATAAGAAATTAGTAAATTAAAATATCTCAGAAATTAAATGAAACAATAAAACCAATGGAAGATGATTAAATTAACATAGGAAGAGGAGATATGGAGTGTAAAAGAGTGGTAAATATTTTGAATAGTAATTCTTTGTGGTTTTATGGCAGATGGAGAGGGAACAAAAGATAAATAAAATATTAACTAGGATAATAAACAATGAACATTAAAAATAAATAAAATATAAACCGATAAATAAAAACAGTAATAAATTAAATTAATGACAATTAAGGAATTAACAAATTTAAATATCACAAAAAATTAAACGAAATAATAAAACAAATGAAAGCTGATTAAATTAATATAATAAGATGTGATATGGATGATAAAAGAATTGTTAGTATTTAAAATAGTATTTTTCGGGGTCAGATAAAATTGCAGCTTTTAATTTAGCCTAAACTTCTTTACCTCAAGACTTGGTAGCCCGTAAATTTGGTTGATCAGATTTATCAAAATTTAATCAGATTGGTGTAGCCCGTAAATTTTCTTTTCCTAAATGGGTTTCAACACGGTTTGCTTTCCAATTTGTTTGAAATTTCCTATTTATTTTGTTCTTCTCTGAGAAAGAGAAGCATACATCAGTTTTGTTAATTGTTAAATAAAATGCTGCCCTGATAATAAAAATTTTCTATCAATATCGTGTTTCAGTTGTACAACAAAGTACCGAGTTCGTGTTATTTGGCGGTGCGCCATACTTTGGCTGGATTTATTATTTCATTACGAAATTTTGAAATACTGTAGTCAGGCTCCAGGAACTGAGATTCTTCGGCTGAAATTTAACTTTGGACGAATTAGTTAACAATTCAGTAACTAACACTTAAGAAACTTGTGGCGACTGAAAGATAAGCATCATCGGGACAAAAACAAGAAACAGATGGCAGATGAAGATTCGTGATATGCGCCGAATTTTCATGTAACATTAAGTAAAAGAAAGGGTTACCCCCCCCCGACGAATAGAGTGATTCAAAAAATTACTATGAGATTCAAGAGCGCCATGCTCTTGCTATGACTTCCTCATTGAAACTTTTGATTGATAAATGGAAATGTCAACTAAATAATGATTACGCTGACTTCCTTGTTGAGAGAAAAAGTATTTAGAGTTCTGTTACTGTGACTGCTGCGAAAGACGAAACATAAACATCGACAATCCATCTTAATTTTTTTTTTAAGTTTATTGTAAATTACGGTCTTTAGAACCAGAGCTTAAATTCGAAAATTGGAAGGGCAGGAGCTCTATGGGAGATCGTCAGAAAAGGTAAATAAAAATAATTTAATAAAGAAATAAATAATGAATTATTAAAATTAAGTAAAGCGATAAAAGTTAATTTGTTAAATTTAAAGGAAATAATAAAATAATAAATAAAATGATCGGAGTGGACGTAATAAAATTACCGGATCGGACGTCACGTGGGACTTGAATTATGATTTCATTCTAAAATTGAGAATTACCGAAGCCGTTTTCCGATGGGCTTTAGCTGAATTTTAGCCCTGTCTAGAACTCAGTTCCCAGCATTGTAATACATTAATGAATTTTCCCCATAATTGCTGTAAATATAATTGGTTGTGAAAGAAGTTTTTCTTAGTAAAATTCGATTAAGAATTACCGAAAACCGTGAAGCGAGGCCTTGCATTTCTAGAAGTGCGTACCGACTAGCACAGTTCTCAACTTTTTTTGTTACATGCACCCCTTTCACCGTTGCTAGATCATACCCCCCGTCCCTTTTCAAAATTCGACAAATACATGTTCATTTATTAAATTTAAACCACATTTTATCAGCACAGCAGGAAACAGGTGTAATCAAGTTGACCGCATTAACCCGCATGAAACTATGAAATTCTGCCCTAAGAGGTAATCCGCGTCTGCCTAGAACCCTAGACTAGTAAATAAGTAATGAAATAATTTTCGATATATCATCGCCGATTTCGCTGAACAAGAAATATAATTAAACAAATTTTGGAATTCAAGTTTGAATTTAGTATAATATTTCATTTCCTTGTACGTCGGTTTTGCATTTAGTAGCATTTTGTGTATGTGCTGAGAAGGGACGCAAAAAGTTCTATCAAGCTACCTGCATGTCTCAAAAATTTGAGAGCTTGAAGTACAGCGAGAAAAGTTGCCACTACTTTCGCACTCTATTTCACTTTGTTCAGATACGATAGTTGCTGTCATAATATCATTTACAGCCTGAGACCTTTCTTCAGATTAGCTTCAAGGCAAAAATTTTACTACTTATGCTAGTTATACAATTAAATCTTGAGTGGCATCATTAGAAGTGTTCACCATGTTATTAAAAAAAAAAAAAAGTTGGATGGTTTTGGCGGCTTAATTTCAATCTTCTGAGCCGCCTTTAATTTGGTTAAATAGTAAGTTCTTACTGTTTTCTTTATGACTGTTTCTTACTGTTTCTTTATGACTTACTGTTTTCTTTATGACTGTTTCTTATTCAGTGATACAATTTTAATTATCTGTTTATCTAAGTCGTCGCATCCTTTTTAATGAATCATGTTAACGTATATTTTAACTTTTGAAAATACGAAATGTTTCTATCGAAAATATTTTCTTACAGAACTTGGAGCTCGAAAATACGCCAGAATGGTAGAGAGGTATTTTGAATTGATGTATCATCCAAAAGGTAATTAATTACTTAGCACATTCATTATTTGGGTAAAGTGCAGAATCGCCCACTTATTTGTTTGACGCTTTTTTTTTTATAAGAGTAAGAAGAATTGGATTTTTGTCAGTTTTCTTCGACTTTTTGAGTGAAAGCAGGTCGATGTGTACATGGATAAAGTCAAGAGAGGGCACAATGCCATTTTTGTGCATTTCTGGGATGTTTTTTTAAGTGAAAATTGGTCGATGTGTACATGGATATCGAGTATGCGCAATTTTTAAAAACGCGCCAAGCCGTGGGTGATTCTGCATTCTCCCCCGTTATTTAAATATTAATGACACATAAAACATATATTTGCAAAACTCGGTTGTTTTTGCAAATATATGTGTTAACGTAATTTTTTATTTTATTGCTTCTTATGTAGGCATATTTGGAAAATATCCAAGACTTCTTTATCATAGCCTAGTTAATCCATCAAAATCTTTAAATTCTGTTTGCTAATGCTTTCTAAATGCTTTTCTATGTTTAAATTTGAATTTAAAGGAATGCATTACTTGTATATCTGCAATGATTTAATTTTATTAGCATAGAGATTAATTATTATTCGCGAGTATCAGTATGAAAATACTATCTGTTGCTCAATTATTATAGGTCTTATCTCCGCGACAAATCTTAAATAAACTTTGATCCTGTAGCATCACAAACATGATCCGCCTTCTCAGCTGCTTATCTCAGTTTGATGTTAAGTGTTTACTGAAGCTTCTTCTTTTATGCCAAATGAGGCTTCTTGGTGCTTAAAAAATGATTTAGAGTTTGTGAAGTATTATCTGCAAAACTTTTATTTTATGCTTTTCTCCAGAAGGAAAAGAGAAGGTTGAAACATTGAGGTTCATAAGCTGAAAGGTAGGTTTTTTTATCAATAAGTATTGTTGGTATATGTAGGTGAAACAGCACTGCTATGCTAATTAACTGAAGTATTTTTGGTTTGGTAATTTTTTGCCATATTACTCTATACATAAGTAAACCAATACTCAGAAAATTAACTTTTTTCTTAGTTTAAGAGGTATAGCTTTTTTCTTATTTTACCTACCATATTGAAGTAATATTATTGGCAGTTTCTCAAATATTCTTATTATTTGAATTTGTGCATTAATTATTTGTAACTGCAAATATATTATTTATTTTTCTTTAATAAAAGTGTTATAAAAATATAGTAATAAGATTAGTTTTTGTTTTAAATTTTTATGTCAAATGCCTCATATCATTAACTTTTAATAATTTTAAAACAAATCTGCAAGAAATTTAAAAAAAATTCTTTCTGAATTTTTTAAAATATCAAAGTAATTACATTTTTTACAATTTGCAAAATGCCTTTTAGCTGTAGGCTTGTCAGAAATGAATTCACCTGGAACTGATGCAGCTCAAGAAAATGGAGCATCTTCACCAACAGTTAGTGTCACTAATTCTGAAACAATTGAAAAGAACAAAAAATTTACGGTAAGTATTCACCTTCTAGTATCATTTAGTAAATTCCTTTTCATATTTATTAAAACATAAAAGAAAAATTCTTATCAACACTTACATGTAGCAGACTTATATTGTGTTAAATGAAAATCTCATTTATTCATAATTTTTCATTAAGGTGATTTTACATTTTAATTTATTATTCCTGAAAATTGGCAGTGAATACTTTGAAATGGTTGTTAACTTTTTTTTTTAATGTTGTTTGGACAAAAAATGTTCTTCCTCAGAGTAGGACAATTTATTTATAATAGTTCATTATTTTCTGTTATGTAAACAATACCTGATGCAGAGAAGTATGTTTAAGATAAACATAAATTTATATTATTATAATGTTGTCTCTAGTGTAGAATTGGGTGCCCCTTCGATTATCGACAATTTTTTTTTTTTAATTTTGGCTATGAAACCTCACTTCTGGTTACCATGACAGTTTTAACTTTGTTTTTAGCTTCTTGGTTATATTTAAATGAAAATAGATTGTTCTGTACATGAACAAATTTAAGGCAGTGCAAAATTCCTAGTTTGTGCAAGTCTATGATGTTTTTTTTTAAGTGAAAACAGATTGTTGTGTACATGGACACAGAGTTTCTGGAATTCTTTGACTTCTTATTTTGGTTTTGTGTAGCGGCCATCTTGAAATTGTGCCTTCCTGGCGCCGATCTTGGCGTCAAAAAAAGAATCGCCAAACAACAAGGGGCACCCAATTGTAAACTTTAATGTTAATAAAATCACATTTATATTATAAATTATAAGAATTTTAAGAAAAATAAGTGAGTGTAAAAAATAGCTAATACAGCTTTATAAGTTGTATGAGTATTACATACTTTTTAATATTTAATCTCAATACATGTATGTGAATAGTTATTAAGCATAATTAAAAAATCACAAAGCCTAAGCACAATTCAAACCTAACACAATTATTATTTAATATTCTGAAATGTGATAATTTCCACATTATAAAGGACTGATTTTATAAAAAATTGGTTGAAGAGAATGTGTACTGAGAAGAATAACTGATTACCAAATATTGAAGTTCATGCTGGCTGTATTGCCTGTTTCTCAAAACATGAAATATTTTATATTCCACATGTTGCTCTCATTGTACTTTTATGTACCTATTTGATAATTTCAACAATTTCAGTAATCTGCAAAGTACTCTTGGAAGTAATATTTTGTATGAATGTATAACTCATATTCAAATTTTGTCTGTTCTGTATACATATTTCATTTTGGCATATATTCTTTTACCTGTAACTGGGTTTCTAGCTTTTATGAATTATATTGGTTGTTTTATATACTGTATGTATTAGTATTTTTACACTTGTTCTTAGCCTAAATTATTTTATTTTTCTGCATTTTCAGATCTGAATCAGTAAACGTTTAAATAGGATATAGGCAATTTTGTAGCACTGCATGTTAATCCTGTAAAGCATTTACCTGCTAAACCTTTTTTGTATCAAGTATATTAAGTTTCAATTAATAAAAGGCAAATTATTTTCAACCTTAGCCTCATCACTTGGAGAATAAATTCTTTTACTCACTGGCTACACTATATATGATTTCTTAAAATTAATAATTTTAATAAATTTAGTTACTTTTCTCTTCAAGTGATGTTTATCTTTTTTGAAAATATTTGAAATATTTTAATATTTTAAATTCAAACATTCAAAACTTTTTTGTAGGTCTATAAAGTTGTAGTTGAAGCTGCAGGAAGTAAATGGTTTGTCTTCCACAGGTATAATGATTTTAGCAAGCTCTTAGATGTAGTAAGTATTTTGATATGGCTCATATGCAGAGGTAAAATAAAATTTATAAAATGATTTGCTTAGACATATGCATGAAATTTACATTGAAGCATCTATCAGAAAATTTCTGTAAGCATTATATTACTTATATTTCATAAATTACTGAGTTATTGGTTCTAATGTCTGATCTTCATTATTCTGTTTTTATTTCAGTACTTAACTGTAATTTTTCAGTTAAAAAACTTAAACATTTATAAGTCACCTTCGCAAAAATGAATATTGAATATGTATATTTACTTAATGAGTGATCTCTAAAATTAGAGTTAATTTACTTTTCATGCAGTTAATTTTCAATAAGTGTTTTCCTTTCAAATGTTACTGATAAATTATTAATTTTTCTTTTGCTTAAAGGTTAATTTTCAAAAATTATTTCCCTTTCAAATTTTACTAAAAAATTATTAACTTTTCTACTGTTTAAAAGTTGTTTGCAGACAAATCATTGCAACACTTTAAGTACTGGTTATTCCTTTCTGTTTCTAAACTTCTGTCATCTTGTTTATTACATGTAATTTAGCTGCATGCACTTTGAAACTTTAAAACTGCCTTTTTTGATTTATTAAAAGTTTATTCAATAAAAATAATGAAAATTCACTCTAAGTAGAGAGAGTGAATTTTCACTATTTTTATCTTATTCTTGAAAGCATTAAGTAAAATGCATTTTCTATTTGGGTCGGATTTAGCAGTTTATTTAAATTAAGCTCTCTCTATACAGTGTTTCTGAAATAATGTTATTGCGTTAGGATTACTTTCAAAAAGAAACTAAGTGCCTGATGAAGATATCACTATATAAAAGTATTTATCAGACTTTTCATTACTTTAAATACAAAATATTGCCTGCTTGCAAATCGCTTGTGCAAACTGACTGATTAACTGAATGAATATACAAGGTATTTAATTGCAATATGCTAAATGTAAAAGTTAAATGTTTTCTAAAAGGAAAAGTTCTACTGTGTAATAACAATTTAAAAAAAAATATGTAGTTTTAATGTATTCTAAAAGTAACAAAAGTGAATCTTTTATAAAACACTGTAATAAAAAATAAATTAAAAACCTAGTGTACAGTTTGTAATTTGCAATTAAAATTTAATACTTCATGCTTAACATTTATATAACCTAATATATGAAACATGGGTAATTTTTTAGAGCTGTGTATTTTTGATAGGAATGAAAGTATGACTCTGTCAATACCTAATTTTTTGTTGTAACTTAGTTGTACCAAAGGAAGTATTTTCCAACCAGTTGGTATAGCTTGATTTTGTATCTTAAAACTTATCAAACAACTGCTCATATAAACTTGTTTTAGTTATCTGATTCTTCATATTTTTGAAGATGAGCTTTACTGTTTGTACCTTATAGTCACACAAAATGTCATAAGCAGAATTAATCCTTGTAGCTAAATAAAGAGGAAAAAATTATGAAAATTCACCTTTTTTTAATGCTTTAGTGTCTTTTTCGAATTTCAGCATGATTTTACATAGATACATATATAAGAAATAACCATATTAATGCTTATTACTGTATTTTTATTATGAAACATTTTTAGTGACAATAAACATTAAAAATATTTCTTCTGGAAAATGTGAAAAACACTTTCAGGAACTAAAATGTAATGCTGATTTAAGAACTATGCAAAAGACAAGTTAATATTTAAAACTGAAATCAGATGAAATGAGGAGAAAAAAGCATTCATTATTACATATTAATGCAAGATGCTTTCCTTAACTCAAGTTAAGTTTTGCTTAATTTTCCCTGAAATTTTTTTATTTAGAAGTATTATACAATATTCATAATTTTAAACTATTTATTGCCCCATACCTATATTTTCACTTTCATAAATAAAGTACATATTCAATTTTTTATTAAAATACAGTAATATTACCTAATTATTAACAAAATGTGAATGATTGTTATATATTGTGTGTTTATTTTACAGAAGGTTTAATGAATATTTTTCAAACATAAGAGCAAATAAATGTGTTTATTTTTTCTTTAAACTGTAAAATTATATTTATAACTTTGTGACTATTAATTTATAATCACAGGAAAATTACAGTTAGTAATAGTTGAGTATTCTGAGACTAAAATTTTTATGGTCTTAATGAAAAATTTTTTCTAATGCCTATAAATATTAGTATTAGTATATTTAAGTATTATTTATGATAGTTCAGTGATGTGTTTTGTGCTAGTCATTTATTCAAGTAATTACTTGGCAAGTAGTATAAATATATTAGTGTATGTATGTATGCATTTATTTTATGTTTAAAACTATGACACTATGAATTACATTAATACTGATTATATCTTTCAATATATGTTTGTTCCTTCAATTTTGCTTTAAAGCTTGTGAATGCTGTAAATACACACACTGGCCAATGAATTAGAAACCTTTGATATTTTCATATGAATGCGTGCTAGGGATGAAATATGCAATTTTTTTTTATGACGTGCGTTACATGTGGTTAGAATGCTAGTATAAGTAAGGTGTAAGAGTGCTTTTCACGATGAATGAAGTAAAATGGGAAAAGCAAACGATCTTTCACTATTTGAAAAAGGGCTTATTGTTGGTGTTCGTTTAGCAGGGGCTTCAATTTCGAAGACAGCAAATCTAACTGGGTTCTCAAAAGCAGACATATCAAAGGTTTTCAAAATCTGGAATCAGAACCCAGTCTTTCTCTAGAGGATGTAACTGTGGTTCGAGCACAGTTTTCCAAGAGAGGGATCAGCAGCGTCTCCAATGAATTGTACAGCAGAACAGGGACTCTACTGTGCTTCATCTGACGCAGATAGTCAACCAAGGCTATTTCCAACAGATTTCAGCTCGAACCCATGCGCAGAGGATAGGAATGCATACTCGGGTGCCAGTGAGAAAAAACACTCATTTCTGCCCGACAGGCAAGAATTCATTTACAGTGGTGTCAGGAAAGAAGACACTGGTCATCTGAGGATTGGAAACAAAAATCTTATTTTGCACTGATGGAAGACAACGAATTTGGTGAGAACCTCGTGAAACCATGAATCTATCTTGCCTTACTCGCACTGTGTGGTGGGAGTATCATGATACGGGGCATGTTCTACTAGCATAGAAGTGGTTCCCTGGTGTTACTCGAGGATAATCAAACGGCGATGAAATACCTAGATTTATTGGCAGATCAAGTGCACCTGGAGTGTTGCATTTTTACTCTGATGACAACGGATACTTCATGAATGATAATGCAACTATATATCGTGCCAGAACCGTTCAAAATTGGTTTGTTGAATATCAGTCTGACTTCCAACACCTTCCCTGGCCACTGCACAGCCTGGATCTTAACCACGTAGAAAATGTGTACGATGTGGTGGAAAGACACATTTGACAGCACTCTCCTCTTCCATCTAATTTACAAGACCTAAAAAGCTGCATAACCAACATATGGTATTCTCTTTACATTAAATGCACTCCAGAAGCATGTGGACTTGATATCCAAAGAAATCAGAGCATTTATCCGTGCAAAAGGTGGTCCAGTAAAATATTAATCATTTGGACAGTGTGTAAATTATACCTTTCCAGTTGTCAGACATCTTTCCTGCAATTTGTGTGAATAACTGTTATTTTGTTTATAAATAAAAAAATTTAAGTTCAAACCAATTATGATTTAATAAAACCTTTACATATTGAGTTTATGTATTACTGTTGAGTTTTTTTTTTAAATTCTGGTAAATTAGCTTTTTATTAACAACAGTTTATTAGAACTTTTTACCCAGTACATGAAACATTTGAAATATATTCTAGAAATTGTATTTCCCCCCAGCTCAAAAGGCAATACCCTAATGTACCCTTGAAATTACCTGGAAAAAAGCTGTTTGGAAATAATTTCAGTTCTGATTTCATAAGAAATAGACGTCAGGGATTGAATGAATTTGTTCAGAAACTTGTTACAGAGCCTTGTCTATTGCAAAGGTAATTTAATTTGAATTGCATTTTGAATCATTATTCATCAAGCATGTAAAAGATTATGTGAAACAAATACAAAACAGAACTTAAAGTGATTTAGTTCACTTATGCTCACCAAATCTGCCTATTTTCATAAAAATTGCTTGCTTTTGCCGTACAATGCAAATAAATTTATTGTTATGATAAATTTTAATACCTATGTTGCAGATTATAAGTAAATTACATTTCACACTTAATAGGAGAACTTTCTTGTAACTGTGTGTGTATATACATAGCTACATTATTTTTTTAATGTTGTGAATCTTGTTGCATAACATGTTTTCTGTCATTAATATAATGTATACACTCTGTTTTCCTATCCAGTTAATGAAAGCTTTTGAAACCTGGTAGATTAATTTCAGGTTTTATAGCAACATTTATCTGCATGAACATTTTTGTGGTTTTCTCCATGTATAGCAAACATGTGCTTATTTCCAATGTAAATTATTTTTGAGATCGATAATTCATGGTTACTCCTATTAATTAGGTGCTTAACATATGGTATAACTTCTACAGAATTCTTTGTCACAAGAGATAAGTGTATTTTAATATTTAGGATATTATTATCAGCTACTTTTTATATCTATTTTTTTTTAGAAAAATAGTTATTTTTCATGTACTTTGTTGTGTATATTTTACACCACTATCTTTTTAATGCCTAAATTAAAGCTACAAATGGATGTTTAAATTGCCCTAATCTCAAATTCTTTCATGATTAACAAGATATGCATACTTTCATGATGTAGCTTAATGAGATTAGAGCTAAATATTTAAAATTGTTATGATTAATTTATGCCATAGACATTTTACATGCATCTCCTAAGTTTAAGAATGTACAGCATAAATGTATCGTAAGCTTAATGTTGAATTCATAAATACATTACATGACAGTCTCAAGCAGGATCTATTTAACATGTAGGAACTTCTTTAAAGATAGTTTGAATAATTTCTAGTAAATGTGAATGTACTGTTATTATTCATTTGAAAACAAAATAAACTACACTTAACTCAAAAATGTTAATTTAGTTGCCAAAATGGAAACAAAATTAAAGGGAGATGTTCCATTATAAAAAGAGAAACTGAATGTGGTTAGAAGATTTGTCTCATTTGTCATACAGATACATAAAGCTAGTTAATTTATTATGACCTAATCATATACTAAGTATATATTGCAAAATATTTCTATTTACATTTCTTTAAATATGTTGATTTAAATTTTTTTTAATATTGCACAGTTTTAAGAATTTTGGGTCTTATGTGCACAGTAAAATCTGTTGTGTCTTATGTGCACAGTAAAATCTGTTGTTTTATGTGCACAGTAAAATTGTATTCGTGTCAGCGATGTGATCATGCATATATCTATGGAAAAAATATGCAAGCTTATCTTCTGCTTGACAGAACATACCACTTGACCCTATTTAAATATTTCTTATAATAAAAGTAAGCTCTGTTATGATAAATATTGTTTATTGAAATAATAATTTTGGTCATGTAGGCATGTTATGAAATTATAGTAAAAACTTTCTGAATTTTTCATTTTGTAACCTGAAAATATGATTTGCATTTGAAATTCAAAATGACTAAAAGTAGATTTTTTTAAATTTCATTTGAAAATTTTATACTGTATTTAAAATGTCATTTTTGATTTGCCTTTGTAATTTAGCATGTTAAACATGGAAACCATTTCTTAGAACCTGCAGTTAATTGCAGGTATTGAGCTGTCTCCTATTTTAAATTATATTAATACTGAAAAGAGATAAAGAAGAGGCTAAAAAAGAAAACTCATAAAATTAGCAGTTTTATACTAGTGAAGTGTAATTGTATTTGTAATTTAGTTATAAAAAGTATCAAATATCCCCAATTTACGTTTTGAAATATAAAATTTTACAGCATATCCTGAAGTAATTAACAAAACTGTGACTAAAAATGTAACAAAAATTTATTTTGCTTAAAATTTTGTGAAATCTGCATTACATGTGCAAATAAACCTTTCTGAAGTTGTAAAAATTCGAATATAATTATGATCATCAGAGAGAAAAATTATACTTCAAATAAAATTTTAACAGTTACTTGTTAAAAATTTTATTTCAGAGACTGAAGCCTTGCATTAGCTGAGTTCCTAGCACTCCAAATTTCTTTATCAACATGTTTGATTTGAAAGAGATTTGCATAGTATTTCAATATTTATTGAAATTTAAAACTTGTTTTTATATAAACATTTTTGGGGAATGTGATTGTTAAAGGTCAATAATTAATCTCATAGCTGAATATTTAATTGCATCTTCCTAATTAAGAGTGTTATTGATCATGCTTTGAACTATATATATAGCAAATTTGAATAATAAATTGCTTGTGTATATCATTTTATACTTAATAATGTTGTACTTTCTTGCAGCCCTGAAGTTAGAGAATTTTTAAATGTTGATAAAAATTTGATGCCAATTTCACCTGATGGGAAAGAGCCATTAGATAAAGTTCAAGATCTTGCAGAGGCATTATATTCTGTAAGTATTTGGAAAACTACTTTGGTCATTGTGCAGCTTGTAGATAATCAGTTGCAAAATGAAAGAAAATAATCATTTGTTATCTAGTATAATTTTAAAATTTGTTTGAAAGCTTTTGCAATGTGTTTATAATTTAATATTTTTAAATAAAAATTGCTTTTTGTATATGTGTAGGAAACTACTGATAGTGACAAAGCAGAAGAGAAACCTGTAGATCTGGGACCAAAGGAAAAGAAAAAGTATATTCTCAATTGTACATCATGATTTATTATAGCTCCAATAGAAATCAATAGTTGTTACAGTGAACATTTAATGTCAGTTAATTAATGTCACAAAAAATTATAAAAGTATAATGAAAATTTCTATCTAGGAGATTTTATAGATTTTCTGTGGTACATTAATATATTCCAGAACAGAATAAAATCCTTATAATTAACATACATTTAATATGTGTGTGCTTTCTGCTGTAGATCAGGCCCACCAGCGGCTGAGCTGTAAAGTCGTTGAACACTGGTAGTTCGGTCTGAGGTTTGAATCCCACGACCGGGCTAGCTGCATGGGTATTTTCGTGGTTTTTCCCATGTGTAACATGTATACAAGCCGGTTTCCTTAGAAAGTCCTCCACGAAGGCATCCCTTCCCTTCCTTAGGCAGATAGCCCTTAAGGCTTTGCCATAATTAGATAACCTAGCCTGCTGTAGATCTTAAGTACCTTGCTTTTAGCATTTTAGCAAGCAAATGTGGAAAATCTTAAGACATTTTTATGATGGTTACTAATAAAGAAAAGCTATCTTATGATGTAATTGTAGAATGGCTTTCCACTGGAAATTATTATCTTGAACTAATACATGCTATTATTATCAAAAATATCATGAAAATGTAAGTGTATATGTTTAACCCTTAAGATTTTTAAAACAAGTATGAAACAGTGTTCTTAACACACTTACTCATAATCAATGAATGACTTATTAAATTATTTTTTGCTTCGTGCATATAAATTAACAAAAACTATTAAGAATGTGTTGTTTAAGTAGTGTGATGGGCCTAATCCAAATTTCAAATTTGATTCCAATAGTTGAAGTAGACTAGATTTCCATTTCTATTTACCAGGGTTAATATAATTCTGACCTATTTTTTGGCTGCTTATTGTTGCTATAATGATAGCAAGAATGAAAGAGCTTAAATAAGTTATGGACCATAAACTTTGAGAAAGCAAATTTTTAAATCTTACCTAGCAAGTACTTTGTTGATTTAGATTCATTTGCTGCATAAGATTAATAAAAATCTGTCAATTAATTTGCTTTGTTATTTAACAGAGCTAAATTATTTCTAGAACATATCTTTAACTTATTACTAACAGAAACAGCCTATTTTATACAGCAGAAGGTTATACTTTGATACTATAAAGTTTGCATGTACACATATATATATACATCTGTACTGTAAATCTACAAAGTACATATTATAAGGGGCAATAGCTTATATATATGTATATATACTATGTTTATTTAAACTTCCGACTAATTGTTTGAACTGTAAAAGAATTGTTAATAAAAATTCACAGTTTTGATACATAAGATTTAGTAATTTTTATAAGGATTTTTAAATGAACATAAAATGTTTTCCTTGTGCCAATCTTTGGACTGTAGTTAGCACCTAGAGCCATTTTCATTTAATTTCAGATCATTAGAAATTTGTTAGAGGTCTGTTTTTATTTTTAGTATATATATGGCAAACAGTGTGAAAAGTTTTCAGTTTTTTTATACAAATCCAGTTCATATTAGGAATATTTTCTCACCTAACATGTATTTTGGTGGCCAAAATTAAAGAATAAATTTGAAAAACTCAACATTTCTCATTTCACATGAAAAGAAGCATTTGTAATTTTGCATAAAATTAAAAATGTTCTCATGGTCTGTTCATTTGCATGTTCTGTGCTTTAATAAAAAGATACTTATTTTTGTCACTCGATAGTTTTTAATGTAACTCTTACTTTCATAGGAGGATCACTTCCCAAATTATCCTTTAATTTTGTATACCAGTGTATTTTTAGTGTTTTCGTTTCATTTGAAATATTCTCTTGCTGTGCCAAATTTGAAATCATACATAGATGAACCTAATTATAAAATCTGGTAATGATAGATCAGATAACACCCCAAAATGAAATCCTCAGAATTTCTGAGTTTGAAATTTCATTAAGGTGATGCTAATATACTAGTTCATTTTATTTTATCCATCTTAAAACTTCTTAACACTGAAATTTAGTTTTATTCAGAATGAATGTGTTTTGATAATGTATTATATTTTAATATTACATGAAGTTATAATAAAAACATGAATTTAAAAAGTAACAGCAATAAGAATTTTTAAAAGTTACTTTTGCTTCAAAATTTTAGATTATTTGTTTGGAAAAAATAACTCATTTTTACTTTCTTTGATATTTTGTGTTGTAAATTTACACAAGACATAGTAGACTGCAGCTAACAAATTTATGTATGTTAGTTAGTGTGGAAGACTGTTTTTGTGTTTTAAGTTTTCAGACACTTGAAAGAAATATTTACCAATTACTCATACATTTTTTTGATTTTTCTGATTTCTTCTCAGGAATATGGCTGTTACATGAGTAATTAAATGTTTAATAAAATAGCTATAGCATATGCTCTAGTTTTATTTAACTTTGATACCATGTATTTTAATTTAATGTTTTTGTTTTTCATGCAAATGTGTAATTATAATTATAATCAAAGTAATATTTCTTTCTGAAAACAAAGAGACTAAATATTATAGTTTAAATGGTAGTACAATGATGTGTTGCATTAGACCTTTATGCACAATAACTTATTTTTAATTCATTGCTCCAGTTCCAATGTTAAGCCGTGAGTACCTTGCAAATTTGCTCCCTTTGTTCCGGCTGTTGTCACAATAAGTTGCTACTACGAGTGATGCAGTGAGTTGAATGCTTAGGGTGGGTCCGAAGGACAGACTAGGAGGTGAAGGGGGCGTGACCAATAGTTACATGTGGCACGGCAAGGAAGGTCAAGAAGCTGTCCAAGAAGAAGTATTTAAAATAAATTTTTACATGCAAAATTACTAGCAAAATGCCATGTAATATCAAAAGAATAATGTGGAAGCATATTATAGATGGTGTAGATGTCTCATCAGGTCTCATCAGTAAAGGCATTATGTACAGATAATGTAGACAGGTAACTTAATATATACAGGTGTTGTGATCAGAAAAATTTCAAAAGCTCCATGCTGTTACAGAGTTAATACATTGCAGTAACACATAAAATGGCACGAAAATAGTCAGGATATATAAAATAGAAGGAAAACCTATAAACACATGTACAAGAATTCTGCACCATGGGTAGCAGATACAGTTCAGAGGGGATCATGTGGGGTGGTCACCCTCTTATAACCTCAGACCCTGGAGGATGCTGCTTGAAAAATGTAAACAGTACACTCAGTTACTTAATGAAGATCCGCACAGTATTAAGTTGGGAAATTGTGATTCCTTTCATTCTGATTGATAAAATACACAGCATAAGGGCATAAAAACTTATCCTCATTGAGGATTTCGTAGTGAAACAAATTAAAGTGTTGCAAATATTCACAATCGAGTGCTTCAGTGTAAAAGTTCCTGTTCAGCCTGTGCAGGAAGTCCGTTATAGTATCCAATTTTAGATCATGATGTAAAAGGTCGTTATGGACAAAGTAGTGTGCATTCGTGATAATGCGTAAGTGCTTGTTTTGAATGATTTGCAATTTCTGGATATCTGAGTCTTTGGCAGCTGCCCAGGCAGGTGATACATAGCACATGATGGGGTGTATAATTGAGGTATAAATGAGTTTCTTTTTGGTCAGATCGACTTTAGAGTATTTCCTGATAATTGGGAAGAGACATTTCATGTCTTTTAGAGCTTTATTTCAGATGTTGTTGATATGACTGGTCCAGGTTAGCTTTGAGTTAAGGATAATCCCAAGATACTTAGCTTCCTTCATGATAGGAATTCTTTCATTAAATAGGATAAGGTCTTTTTTGATGGGGCAGTTTTTCTTACAGTCACGTATGATGAGAAGTTGCGATTTAGAGGCATTTATGGAGACTTTCCACAGTGGCACCATTTCCAGTTATCGGATGACACTTGGCGTTTAATTGCATGTTGACATTGCGGATTCACTGCAGGGCAGTGTCGTCAGTTTAGCATGCTAATAAGGTGTTATGAACATTTGGGGAGTCAGATACGTATAATAAAAAGAGTATTGTGCCGGTGACACTTCCTTGAGGTACTCCAGCACTAATTGTCCGCATAGAGAAAAGACCATCTCCACAACTTGCACGAAATGTGTGGTGGGAGAGAAAGGAGAGGATCATGAGTATAAGTTCCCTTGGGAAATTCAGGTCGATGAGCTTGGCGATAAGTCCTTCATGTCGGACACAGTCGAAAGCTTTCGCCACATCTAGCATGAGGAGGGCAACATTTAATTTAGAATGCAGGGCAGTGCCTGCAAATTCCATAATTCTAAGCAGTTGTTTTGTCGTGGATAATTTAGGCCGGAATCCAAACTGTTCAGGAGGGAACAGATTGAAATAGTCCTTCATTCTATAAAACAAGATCCTTTCAAACACTTTTCCCAACCCGGGGAGAAGACTAATCAGTCGAAAGCCATCAGGAGTTGAATGATCTTTACTGGGTTTCGGAATAAGTATGATTTTGGCAATTTTTCATTGTGTAGGGAAGTATGCGTTAATTAAGCAGACATTAAAGAGTCTGGTGAGCTTGCAGATGATATTATTTGGGAGTACTTTGATTGCTCTGTTAGAAATTTTATCGATTCCATGTGCTTTTTTCATATTTAAGTTCTTGATAACACTATGAACTTCAAAAGGAGTGGTAAGAGTAATACGATTATTAACTGACGATGCGTTGAGCCAATCTCTAACTTCGAGGAGGGTGCTTAATTCAAAACTAGGATCCACCAGTCAATCATTTGGCTGGAACTGCTTGGCAAGGTGGGACGCAAACATATTTGCTTTGTCCTTATTGGTAGTTGCAACTTGAGTGCCATAATAGTGGGGGCGATTGCTGGAGAAATTAGACTTTAAGTTTTTGATGAATTTCCAGAAAGAACCATCGTTAATGTTCAGATTAAGTATTTTTTCAGTCCAAAGTTCTTCTCTGTGTTCCTTGATGAGGCGTTTAATAACTTTACTGAGCTGATTAATTTGTCTTTTGAGTGCTGGGTCCCATGTAACGGGATATTTCTTACGAAGTCTATTTCTTTGCTTCATCATCTGATGTTGGATGGGAGCTTATACAGCTTTTCACTGTTAGTAATTGTTTCACTTGCATTCTTCATAGCCTGTTGGATAGTGTTAGTGAGGAGGTAGACTGCATTATCAATTCCAGTATTGGAATTTAGATTACAAAAATTGAGATTACTGTCCTTCATAAAGTTCATTGCTCATGGAGATCTTATTTAAAAAGGGTCAGTCATGATAACCTTCATCCTTATCAGAGCACAGAAAGCTGAAATTGTGCATCAGACATTAGCAAACATCTGTAATTCACAGAAATTTTTATGTTGATGAAAATATAATGAACTAATGTAAGCAGAATTACAATAAAAAAATATGGATACTTTTATTACAATAAAAATGTGATTTTAATTAGTACAATCGATCTACACAGCAATTGCATTAGAATTTCTTTACAATATTTTAAATCAATGAAACATCTTGAACAGACACCTAATTATAACATACACATACATTAAATGAAATTAAGCTTTAAAAAAAAGAAGGGAAAGATGAACAAAGTTCATTGCAGGCATTATTTTACCTTATAATCATAAAGATGACTTTTACATAGTTTCAAATTTTGAATTAATTTATTTCAATGATTCTCACATGTTTAATTTTATGTTTGTAGTGTGAAACCCAACGATTTCGAATTTTTGAAAGTTATTGGAAAAGGAAGCTTTGGTAGAGTTCTGTTAGCTAAACATAAAGCTGAAGGCAATATATATGCAGTGAAGGTAATTATATTTTTATATTAAATTTATAAAATATGTATATATCTTAAATTTTGAGGTATTATATATATATATATATATATGAAAGCAACTCGATGAATATATGAAACCCATATGAATACGTGAAAGCAACTTGGTTTCAACTGATTTCTCAATGTTAGTCGACTAAGTTAGGTTCATAGTTATTAATTCTTTAGAAGCACATGAAGTGGGTTTAAATGTATACAGAATTTTACTCTCAGAATTATCAGAAATTACAGCCTTTCTTATGAAATGTTCCTATTCTATGAAGTTGCATTTCTCAAATACTTAGAGGATAGTAAGACATGTTACCAAGTCATATCTAATCTAGTCTTTCATAGTCTCTCCACCAAGACTTGCCAGTGGCTGAACAGTAAAGACATTTAACATTCCTAGTTTGACTTGCTTCAAATCCCAGCAAACAGGCTGGCCGTTTTCATGGTTCTTCTTCTCTTCCATGATTCTGTGTAACATGGATATGAGCCAGTTTCCCTTAGACAGTCTTTCATGAAACCATCCCTCCCTGTAGGCAGGTAGCTCTCTCATATTTTCTAGTAATCAAACAAAATTCTCCACTATAATAATTTCTAAATCCCTGCACTCTATATATCGAATCATCATAAAAATCTTGCTGTAGAAAATTGGTTGGTATGTATTATCCTATTGTGGAAAAGGTCTTTATTTTTTAATTCAGATTCTTTGAGTTAAAAAAAGTGGGGGGAAAACTTTAAAAGGCTTAGCTGTATGTCATGCAATTTACAGATATATATACTAAAAAATTTGAATTTACAGTGCTTTAAATATAACCTAAAACCTACATGCTATTGCGAAATGTTTAGAAGTTATATGTGGTTGCAAAATACTTTTCATTCTAATTTGTCATTAAATTATGGAGAAAATTCTATGAATAACAAGCTTCTAATACACAGCATCTGTACATATGAATTTGAAAATTGTTCAGTTATTATTTTAAATAATATGTAAATTTCTAAGTCTGTGTTTTTTTGTTAGTTTTTATAAATGCAATTTTTTTCTATGCTTGTTTTCTGGTTCCATGTAATGCTTTTACTTTGGCAAGTTTTTTTAATCATCAAATTCTTGAAATATATGATCACTTATATCAACGTTTATAAACTATTTTTAAATGCAGCAAGATATTTTAAATTTGTTTTTCATTACAAAAACTACAATTGATTTATTTATGTATTTAAAAAATATTTCTGATGCTGCACAGCATGAAGTGCAAGGCTTGGAAAGCAATTAAGTTGACGAAGTATGAAATATGCAAAAATACATAATAGCTTACAAAATATTATAGTATGCAAAACTAAACCATAAAAAAGCTTTAAATAGTATTAAGAAATTATTAGATAGATTTAAAAAAGGTGAGGGAAATGACATTTTTGTATTGTAACATTTTTTATGCTTTTCAAGGCATATATTCCAAGTCTTCAAAAGGGGGCCTCTCAGTGGTCAAATGATTAAAGCTTACTGAACCAGATTTTCATACTGTTTGATTATTTGCAAAATAGGCTATGAACGTTGGCATATTCATGCTTTTCCACCATATCTGAATTGCATTTAAAAAGCTTTAAATACTATGAACAAAGTATTAAACAGATTTAAAAAAAGTGATGGAAGGGGCATTTTTGTATTGTAACATTTTCTATGCTTTTCAAGAGATATATCCCCAGACTTTTCAAGACAGTGCCTCTCAGTGGTCAAATGGTTAAAGCTATTGAACAAGATTTTCATTCTGTTAGATTACATGCAAAATCGGCTGTCAGCATTGGAATATTCATGCTTTTCCACCATATCTGAATTGCATGTTTTCTGGTAAGGTATCCTTCCCTAGACATCTCTTAGATAATTAAGACACAATAACACGCCGAATAAATACTAATTCAGAAGTCAAACAACAAAAATCAGCGTTATATTTTCAAAATTTTCGCAGGACTAGTTTCAATGGTTTTTACCGAACCACCACCCTCAGCTGCAAAACCGCAAATGAACCATCAAAACTAGTCCTGCGAAAATTTTGAAAATATAACGCAGATTTTTGTTGTTTGACTTCTGACTTAGTATCTCTTAGATACTTTGCCATAATTTGCCTTGTCTCTTTTAGGATACCTAGTTAAATTTACTTCTTATATTAATTGGTTATTATGAGTATCATCATCATTATCACGTTCTAAATTCTCTCTCTTTTCAAACAGGTTCTTCAAAAGAAAATGATTTTGAAAAGAAATGAGAAAAATCATGTTATGAGTGAGAGAAATGTTCTTCTTAAAAATTTACATCATCCTTTCCTTGTTGGACTTCATTATGCATTTCAAACCCCTGATAAACTTTACTTTGTTCTGGATTATGTAAATGGAGGAGAGGTATTATTGAAATATTTTATACTTTTCCTTGTATAAAGAAAGTTTTTATTATTTATACATAGATAAATTTTCAGAATTGATATGTAAAATATGTGTGTGCTTGCTCATTTCATGAATGTTTTATGCATGTATTTGAAGCAAAACTTGACTATATTCAAATCTGATTTTCATATATTGAATCAAATTTTAAAGACACTTTTAAAGTTAGCTTATTGCCCACAAGTGATGTAGTTTGCAAGATCACTCAAAATTGCTAGTTTGTCACGTGTTCAGTTGCTATGTTTAATGGGCTGTTCATGATTTCCCTGATGTTTAATATGAATATGAGCCAAATTACCTCAGTCCTCCACAAAGGCACATTCCTTCTAAGGCAGATAACAGTCGATTACTTTGTATTAATAAATTACCTGATTCTTTTTAGAATATAGTTTACTATGCTGTAGAATATGTGCTTTGAATGTTAACTTTTAAGATTCTAAATCAAAAGAACATGAGTTCAGATTCTTTCAAAATTCTTGAAATATTACTTTTAAATGTAAAAATTATGTTTGGCATTTTGCAGTTGTCTTTTGAAATTGGCAAGTTCTTTGATAAAACTAAATTGGGAAACATTAATTTTACATTTACTTTAAGATCAGAATTATCATGCATAAAATGTAGCGAAAACAAAGTCTCAGCAATCATTAAAATTTTGTGTGGTTACTCATATGTGTGATATTTGCAATCTCATTATAAAAACATTTATTGCCATCATATGTCTAATTTATTGCATCAAGTGCCTAAACAAATATTTTTGCATCAAAATGGCTTTTTGTTCTTTTGCATAGCTATCTTTAGTTTCCCATTACTATTCAGGACACTTTGTTTTGAAATTTAGTATGGAGTTTTATGTGCACATTAAAAATTAATTTCTTAACTGCTGTGCATTTTCTATATGAATATCTAAGATTTCTAATGTGTGATTTATGCATAGCATGTCCAAAAAATAATACACATTTGAAATTTAAAAAAGTAGTTAAAAAATCATTTTATTTTGGAAATGCATATCTAGGGCTATTTTACTAGGAATCAAGATTTCGCGTATACTTGTCACTAAATTCTCCACCAATTTATTTCGAAATTCACTGTTTGCTGGAATTCTTCATTGTGACCAAAGTTTTGTGAAAAGATGGTAATCACTGGATAACTGGTGGTGTATTCTAATTAATGGTGGTTGATCATGAGGCATGAATTTAATGATGAGAGAAGTAGGACTATGTTTATTCCAGAATACAATGGTCATTCATTGTCGTGTGTTTGGAAAGTCATCACGTGGGGGTTTTCTTCTGGAACACAGTAGTAAAAACCATTTCTTAGGAAGAAGATAGATGATTTATACCCAGGAGCATACGAAGTAGAGGCAGACTGTCTTGGGCCTGTGATCAGTGGAGCCTCTCCTCCCTAATTTTTTTCTTAATTTAATAACCTTAAGTTTTTAAATACATGCCCCTATATAAAGAATTTATATATATATATATATAAAGCTAAAAAGTATCTGCATTGAAAATGTTAGTTTATTGTGGAAATGGACTTATATTACCAGTAACTTATATTTGACACTAGAGGCCTTTTTTACAGTGTGTGTTTCAGTTGCTTCTTGTGAGAAAATCTTTTCTCTCACAAAAGGGTTCAAAACAAAGTTGAAGTTAATTATAAGCTATCTTTAATCAATAATTAGCCAAATAAGACTTAATGCTTTCGCAAACCTTTCATTTGAAAATGCAGTCGCTAAAAACATTAATTTTGATGAAGCTAGAAAAATCTTTTTTCAGAAGTCAAGCTTGCAAAAAACAGTTTTAGCTTTTCACTTTGTACAAAGTAAAGGAAGTATTGCAATCGTGAAAAATATCAGTTATATTTCAAAGGAAATATCCTTTTTGACTGTTCCCAAATCCATTTCGATGATATTTTGCTTGACATCTGTATGTATGTGGAGAATAAATTAATTCTAAGTGGATTCAAAAGGGTTTTTTTTTTCATGATATCTCTACATACATACGTGAATGCATGCACATATACACATATCTATGTAGGTATCTCGCATAACTAAAAAATTATTAGCTGTAGGACGTTGAAATTTCGTATATGGGTCTACTATAACATTTAGTTGGCCACCTCTTTTTAATGCATCGCAATACTAAGGTGTGTTATATATATATATTTAATTTATTTCCTAAACAGTATTGATTGATTATATTATCTCCTAAGTTTAATTAAAGTAGAATTATTTTAAAAGTGTGCATCCATACTGGTAAAGTTATATTTGAAAGATGTTTTGAAGTAATTTGAAAGCAAAATGTTAATAATGTTTTAACGGGGACTGGAGTTAAATCATCACGAAGAAAAATATTTCAATTGTAAAAGGAAAAATTAAAACATGTAATTCATTGTCATTGATCGGAAATTAGTTGACTTTTCAAGGGGAACAAACCAACTCCCGTTCAATGAACAATAATTGATAAAAATACGTAAATATGAAAGTGTTTCGTCTTTACTCGAGTTATAAGTTAAAGCCAAACCGGCAATTCTAGTCAGGCCAAATATTTCCGCGAATAGAAGGATTATGTCCAATGCTACTCAAAGAACTTATTCTCATGAAGCATTTTAGTCAATTCAATTTGGAGTAAAAATCAATTACTGTAGAGAAATCCTGTAAAACTCGAGTAACCGTCCCCCGACACTATCATCTTTATGTATTTGAGTTACTATATTATTTGTAGAAATTAAACATTGGAAATTGTCATTATGAAATCGAAATTCAAAGTAAAGTTGAAATAAACATAGAAGATTATAAAAAAGATAAATAATGCAAACTTTGTAAAAACAAATCAAAGAAATATAAAAATAATAAAAATAAAAAAATAATATAAATAAGATCAGTGAATGTACATGAAGATATAAAGGCCAGAAAGGTATTAAGTAACTTACATTCTTTCTAGTGGGGGAGTTGGCAGTGTCTCTCTTCGTGTCTGACTCAGAAGTGTAGGGTGTCCGAAAATTCTTAGCGGCAGTAGGGGCTTTGAATAATATCAGTTGGTTAAGAGTGGGTGAAGGGTTGGTGGGAATTGAAGTTCTTAATATGGTAAGTGATTTAAGGGTGAAAAAGTCGTGTGGGAATTGAAGTAATTTATGGTAGTGGGGTCTACTGATTAGACATTTTAGTTAGGCCACCTCATTTTTTAATTAGACAGTCAAGGCAATACCTAAATGTGTTTGTGTATATATATACATATATATAATTTTTTTCCTAAACAGTATTGATTGATTATACTATCTCCTAAGTTTAATTAAAGTAGAATTATTTTAAAAGAGTGAATCCATACTGGTAAGTTATATTTTGAAAGATTTTTTGAAGTTAAATTGAAAGCAAAATTGTTAATAATGTTTAACGAGAGGACTGGAGTTTAAATCATTCATTGAAGAATTAAAATTTTCAATTCAATTGTAAAAGAAAAATAAAATCATGTAAATCATTGTCATTGATTGGAATTAGTTGACTTTTCAAGGGGAAAACCAACTGCCGTTTCAATTTGAACATAATGAAAATATACGTAAATACGAAGTGTTTCGTCTTTACTCAAGTTATAAGTTTAAAGCCAAACCAGCAATTCTAGTCAGGTAAATTTTAATGAAGGGATTATGATCAATCTGATAGTTATGATTAGTGTTACAATCATTGAAAATAAATTTACAGATTTTATTAAGTTGAATTGAAAAATAATAGTCTATATTTTTCTTGTAATTATTAGTTCCATTAGCTATAAATCTAAATTTTAATGGTGTTTTATGGAATTTGGGAATCGCATAAAGATTAGTAAATCTGTTGTAGTTTGCATTGAAAGTAATATTGAGTTTCTTATGAAAAGTTTTAATCCTGTTTATTATAGATGTTTCTGTAAGGTTGGCTGATTGATAAGTAGTTGCGTTGAGAAGTTCTTTATGAATAATCTCAGTGTAGAATTGTTTTCATATAATGCTAAAGTTATTAGTTGCTTTATCTATTTTTGTAATAGTAAAAAGCTGTTTTAATTTACTAATATCTGATGTAAGTTGCGACCAATTCAGTGTACTTTTAAATTTGAGGTGACTGATTTCTGTGGATATGCGTTGAAGAATTTTAGCTTTCCATTTTAAGAAGGTATCTATGGGTAAATTCAGTTGATAGCTTGCTTTAACTATAAATTCGTTGATGTTGTTTTCGAAAGTCTTGTAACAGTAATTTGTAGTCATGTATCTGACTGGTCTAAATTTTGTACCATAACTCATTAGTGTTTTTAGTTGATGGTTATGTGCTGGTGATGAGAATCTACGTATTTGCTGTAAATTGGTGTCTTACAATGTCATTCTGCAGTTTCATCTATTTCATGGTGGTTAGTAAGCAAGTTGCTTAAGGTCCTTTGATATTTAAATGCAATCATTGGTATTGTGTCAACTGCGGGGAAGTAATCTTTACAATCTCTGATGATTCTTGAGAAATGAATATTGTCAAACTGCGGATGCAGAAAATTGACTTTAAAATAAATTTTGCGTTGAGTGAGACTATTAGAGAGTCTGAAAAGACTAAAATCAAGAATCATGTCTTTAATGATTTGTATGTCGTCGTAGCTTTCTTGAATGAATTTTTTTTAGTTTGATAAGGAATTTATTAGTACAGGAGTGTAACCAGTTGAGAAGTTTCTTGGGAAAGCAGTCTGAGTCAAAAAAACATTTCAATTGTTTTTTCAATGCAAGTGTATCCAAAGTGGATAAAAATCTCGCATTATTTTTTATTTTGCTTCCTCTTTTTCCTCTCTGCGTTTTGATGCTGTAGAGTTTAAATTGGCTGAAAATAGACTTCTTAGAAGTATCTCTATGACTATGTATATAAGTGTTAAGTCCATATGGATAAAGTGAACGTTGTTTTAGTATATATAGAGAGATTCCTGAAAAATTCGTGTTTTGTGATTGGGTATTATATCTAG